AGTCACCAAGTTAGACCATTCAGTGAGCAAAAATATTTAAATAGAAAGCACCAAACTGATTTGTAATTCATTTCTCTCATAGTATATAACAAAATTCATATTAGTAACAATTCGAAATAACACAAAGCTTTCTTTCAATACTGAATTCTTCAAAAACCTACTTGTATATTACTTCTAAAAATTTATACCAAGAATTTTGTAACGCTTTTGTGTTTTTTACAATGGTTAAAGCCTGTAATCCAAGTATAAATCGGCAAGATTTAATGGATGCTGCAAATAACGAATAGCGAATATGTTGAACCGAATCTGAAACAACCATTAGAGACCAAATTAAACAATATTTTGCAGCAAGCCTGCCTATTATATGAACAGCTAACTTTTTTCTACCACCTGGTTTATATAGTTCTAGATCTTCAAATTTTTTAAATACGAACTCAAACTCAAATTCTGCAGTTTCTTCATTGCTTTTAGCTAATAAAGAATATATTCTTGCTCCTAATGCATCGTCTCAATATCAAGCTTTAATCCTAATTAAAGAAGCTGTAACTAAAGTAAATAAATACAAAAATTTATTGCTAAATACTAATGACATAGATCTTAGGTATCAGATATATGATAAGTTAAAGGATAGTTATGCCATTATTAAAAAGAAAAAAAAACATATTAGTTTATTAAAAAGCCATGCTAAGTCTCAAGCAAAACTTTGAGAAAAAAAAAGAAAAACAACTTAACGAAGAAGGCATTGCCGTAATATATAATACTAGTGATGCCTATCTGAATTTCAAAAAAATCCTGAATTGCTTAATCAAATATATGATTGTGTTGAATTTGGTGCAGCAGAAAAAAAAAGAAGAAAGACTGTGATTAAAGTTTACACAATCAAATACTTAAAGGAAGCATTACAAGAAAAGTATAATGTTTATCTCACAAAACTAACTCTTTCAACATATCTTCTACCCCAATATCCCAATTTACGTCAAGCAAAGTGCCACCATTATCCTGCACAAATTAAAATAAGTGCTGTTTTTCATTCTGAAATAAAGTTTTATATAGATGAACACTACTGTTTCGCATCAGTTAAAATGGTTAGAGAGTTTGCTGCAACTTTTGCTAACCATAGCCTTATCATCTTACAAGATAATAAAGCTAAGGTTGGCTTAGGTGTGTTAGCAGTTGGTAAAACTTTTAAAAGTATCCAATCGCTTAGTGAATCTATTACTGTCTCTGATTATGATTTTCATATGAAGCTAAACAAAAACTTATACCTTTGGTTTATCTTCTTATCAATCCTGAAAACGCAAATAAAACACTACATCAAGGTCAATTATCTATCTATATTCGACTAGAGTATTTTGTAGAAACTTCATCGTTATCTCATATGAGAGATTTAATTGAAATTTCAAAGTGTGATGATTTTGCGCTAATGTTGAAATATAGTGACTATCTAAAGTCTATTTGGTTCTTGTTAGTTGACGGGAGGCCTGACGAAAACCCAAAATATTTGAAAAATATTGTTGAATATTGTTGTCTTTTTCATGAACTTGACCTTGATTATCTTTCTGTTAGAATGTATGCCTCTTATCAGTCAGCTTACAATCTAGTAGAATGCAGTATATGTATGCTTTCCAAAAAGCTAGCTGGAATTGAACTTCCAATTAATAAGTTCGATTAGTGTTAATAATATAGTTGGCTCTCTTTATAATGATAGGCGGTTCTTTTGGTAAAAAAGTTTTGAATTCCTCTATAATAAATTTTTAAAAAAGTTTGTTATTGTGTAGTTTATAAAAAAGAAAGTTGACATATATAAATTTAATATAATAATTATAACAGTTTTTTTTTTTCTCTTTCTTTTATGCTTTACTCTAACTTTAATTCTAGGATCTTATCTTAACAGCCAAGATGTAGTTATAGATGAAGACTTGGCAAAGTGTAACTTTGAATTTTCTGGTCAGAGTTTGTGTGAAATTTGGAGATGTGATAATATTCATGGAAGACAAGTACATGTCAATTATGTTAATTATGATGAAAATCCTTTTTATAATAAAGGAAAAGAGTCTACCACGTGGTTGTGGATAGAACATCATACTTAGCTATGCCACTACTCTCTGGATGTGCGAAAATGCCCTGATTAAAATTGCTATAGTGATGTTTATGCCAAAGAGGCAATTGATCTATTGAAGAAAAATGGTGGGTTTCTCCCACCATTAACAAAAGGAAAAGATAACCGCTTTTTAAATCTGATCCACATTTTGCAATATATAGACAAGACAAAATTGCCTAAATATGATAAAAAGTGCCTTTTAGTATCACCACAAACACACCAAAGACTTTGTTGCAATATATGTAGCAAATATTTTCCTACTGTGAAGATGATTACAAAACACAAACAAGTGATTCATGCAAAAAAACCACCTCAAAAAACCAAAATCAAACCTCTTTATCTGATCTTGAACTTCCTATCGTGCTAATTGAACATGTTGAACTACCTTACTTATCTACAGAAGAGGTTATCAAATTCTTAGAATATCTTGACAATGATAACCATCAAATTCAATTAAGTAATTCAAATATTATGGAAGATTTTTTCAACCTACTCTCTATTCGTCCATCACACTAGTCATCTGAAATTTTTGATTTACGAGAGATACTTTTCGACATTTAATAAAGTAATGTTTTTTTTTTTATTGTTTTTCAAATTATTTTATTGTATTATCGAAACAATCAACTTTTTTATAACGAATTAATGGTTTATGAAAAAAAAAATAAGCTCACTATAAAAATTACTATTTTTCTTAAAAGCTATACCTTTTTTTATTTTAAACTTATAAGAATTTAAGAATTTGAGTTCGTTATATCCAGTATTTGATATAGAGGTTCTTTATATTCAGAGTTGACTAGATAATTAAAAAAATTAAGTTCAGGCTTTAAAATGAACACTATTAATTCAATTTAAAAATAAAAGTTAAAAGTCATAATATATACCTTTTGCCTCAAAGATATATTTATTAAGTGGCTTTTTCTTTATTAAAAAGAAAATTTACTATAATAGTAATAGGTTAGAGATCTAAAAAAAAAATCACATCTACAAATACATACACGTACATACATACATATACGTAAAAATTGAAACTATTGCTCATATCCTACCTATTATACTAATCTGCAAAATACTTACATATGTACATACAGATTTTTTGGTTGCCTAGTAGTTCTCAATGAAAAAGGTTTATCACCCTGAATATATTCAATATCAGATATACCATATATATATATATATTATATATATATTATATATATATATATATATAACGTGATATATTGCTAACCTCCTCCCCCTAAAAAAATTACATGATTATCTGCACTTCTCTTACTACTTATTTTGCAAATCTATTAAATTTTCCATAGTTTTTCAAAATATTTTTAATTTTCTTAAATACTTCAATAATTATTGTCACAGATCATAATAAAATCAGATTAAAATAAAACTAGTGACCTTTTTCACTAATCTTTAAAGCTTATAAAACTTACTTATACTTTTTTTATTAATAAAACTAACTCTAAACTCTAATTCTAATACTAACCCTAACCCTAACCCCAAAAAATATTTCACAAAAAATTTTAAATTTTTTTAAAAAAATAAAAAAATTTCATTTTAATTTGCTACAATTATTAATTTATATATATATATATATATTATTTTTTTTTTTTTTTTAAGTGATTATGCTACATGCTCATGCTTTATTAATTATTAATTTAATCTGAAAAAAAAAGAATACATCTAAAGATACGGGTATGTAACTCACCCGGTTACTTATATAGAATACCTAAATATTCATATACCTGTATGTGACTTGCCAAAAATGATTTTAATCTCCCGATTTGGTTCAACCTACATTAAGCTGACCCACTCCGGTTTACCAATCTGGTTCATCAGCCTATTATGACCATCTTCTTTCCCAACCTTCTTCTCCTAGTCTCCTAGATAGAAGAATTCTACCAAAGAACAATGGGAAATTTACGAAATAAAAGAAATACAAAAAAAGGGAAAAATCTAAACTAAATAAAAACAAAAAAAAACAAACAAAAGAAAAAAAAGAGAAAAAGAGAAAAAGGCCGAAAAGAAAGAACAGCCATGACAGCACTATTTTTGCCTGTGCAAGGCTACATAAATTATATAATGTTGTATAGAATAAAATCTAATCTAACACTATATGTAATAAAAGAAGTGGAAAAGAAAATATCTAACATTAAGAAATTTTTACACGTAATTCCTCCAATTCTCTATACTGTAAACAGTACTGCTATTATTGTTTATTTGGCAAAGCATAATCCAAATAAGCTTGTAGGAGGTTCCATTTCAGTAAACGTGTTCTAATTTGGAAGGAGTAAACACTGCCGATCTTTTGGAGGGGATATGCCAGTTTTTCTACTTTTTGGTCAAAATTTCAAAAAAAATTCCAAAATAGCGAAAATATGGTAGAAGGTCTTCGGTTGCAGGTACTTTCAAAACTTCTAAAAAGTATATTAAAATTCAAAACTTTTGTTGTTCCTCTGTGTTCTTCTTTGAAGTAACAGCCTAGGGCTTCGTCAACAAAGTAGTAGCCTATTATGTAACTTACTCCCTTTACCAAGATTTTTCATACAAGGGCATCTAGGTGGCAATTCCCTGCCAGTTATTTTGTATAATAATACTCCTAGCTTGCATGCCAAACGTCCTTTAGAGGAGTCACCCAATAGGAAAAGGTTGACCTCTAGACAAACTGCACTATAGAGCCATGTCTCTCCAACAAAAGTTTTGTTTTTCGTTAGTTGAAATTTTGGTATGAGTGATCATCGGGGAGAGTTGCTCTTTAAAGATATTGTTTTAAAATTAATATATATAAAGAGTTATATAATTTAGCGCATATGTGTAGTAACACATCCACTGATTGACCAATTAGAATTTAAGATCAGGTGTAACATGAAATCGAAAAAATAGCGATCTTTTAAAAAAATTGCTTGTAGCTAAAAATTTTGCTTATGAAACCTCTCTTCATATACTAACAAAAAAAATTCCTTGCAAAATTTTGGCTTAGAACTTTTTTACTAAAACACTCTATCCTAACCCTAACCTAACCCTCACCTTAACCCTAAACTAACGAATTAATTTATTGTTTTGATTTCACATTACACCTGATCTTATGAAGTGTGTTACAACGTATATGCACAAAATAATATAATTCATATATAAATATAGTAATTATAATAATTTTGTAAAAAAATTTTTAGCTATTTTTATTAAATAGTTTTTAAAATATTAGATTTTTAATTTTGTATATAAAAACTATTATAGATCTTTTGTATATAAAAATTAGGTTAAAAAATTTTGACTTAATTTTTTTTTAAACTTAGGCAATATTTTACTACACTGGCAATCATAAATATATAGCAAAAAAAATTTTTGCTTGGATCGCATTATCTCATGTAATTTTGAGTGTATCCTTTTAATTTTTTTTTTATTTTACTCTTAAACAATACAGTATTCATATATAAAAGTCTTAGAAGGTATTAATAAGGCAAATTTTTCTTGAGCATGAGCTTTATTCAAAACAACATGTTGCATTATTTTTGCTCATTTTAAACACAACATGAACATAAAGCAAAAAATTTTTTTTTACATATAAATAAAAAATTTTTTTTTTCTAATTTAATATTTTATGCCCACCACAACGTGGTGTATTCACCTTGTACCTTGATAGCCTTACAAACTTGTTTTGGCATTGGGATGAATTAGATAATATGGGTTCTCGGTTTAATTTTAACTATCTTGTATTAAAGATCTTTTTTACTTGAAATTTACCCAAGATTTCTCCAAGCCAATAGTCAATCTTGACCTACAAAGATTTAAAATTTTAAATTTAGAAAATGGGGTTGCCAATAAAAAATCTTTGCTTAATTATTTCTATCTAAAATTTTGTAGCCATCATATTATATTTATTACTATTATCTTACTACAAAATTATGTTTTTAAATAGCCAATTCGTGATCTCTATAGTATCTATAAAATATTAATAAAAAATCTATTAGTCTAATTCAATATTTGTCATATAATCAACTTTGTAAAACTCTATTAATACTGCAAAATACAATATAATACTATACTTTTATGAACCTATTTCAAAATTTTAATGTAGAAGCAAATTAATAATGGATATTCTATAAAATAGGTGGGCAAACTCTGCAAACTTTGCAACTCTGCTAAATATTTATTAATGATTACTAATCATTGGCGGAGTTTATATTATATATTGCTTATCTATTTTATAGAACATCTTTAATAATTTCTCAAGGTGCTTCTATAGTATAATTTACTAACAAACTTAAAAATTCTAAATTTTTGCTTATCAACCCAAATTACTTTAGACTAGTGTTTAATAAACTGATTTTTATGAATTGAAGCCAATGTTTTTGTTGACATTCATATAGGCAGAGCTTTTCTTACTTAATCTTTAATACCAAACTATAGTATATATATATATATATATAAACAACCTAAATTATTAAATAACTCTTTTTTTTTTAATAAAACCATACTTCAATGGCAATTCAATAGTAAAGATAGGTGGCTTGAATTAAAATCGTTACTTGGGTTGGCTTATTACCGACAAGTAAATGACAAACCTTTACTAATTTTTACAACACAATATCTCAGCTATGTTTATTGATAAAAAGATCTGAGAAGAAACTAATATTATATATCTAGCTTACTATTTTTATAACATATATATTCTTACGGCAATTTGAAAACCCTTACCCTCTTAAATTATAATTGTACATATTTTTTTTTGCTAAAATTTTATTTGAAAATCTATTGTAACACAAAGTTATAAAATGATAATAAATTTACCATTTTGTATATAACTTTGTAGTACAATGATCAATTATCTGATCGTTGTCAAAAATGATCAAAAATAATACAATATGTAATTTGTGACATATGTCTGCTTATTTTTACATTGGCAATAATAATAACTATTAAAACTTAGCATTAAAAACAAGGTACTATTTACAAGTAAAACAAAAAAAAAGTAAAAGAATATATTAAAAATTAGTGATTTTGGCCAATATGGAAAAATCGGCTAAGCCAAAAATTTTCGGCTTAGCCGGTCGATTTTTTCAAAATTGGCTAATCAATTTTTATATCTCCAAAAATAGAAAATATAATTTACGTGTAATTATGCACAAAAACAAGTATTTTTTTTTTTTATTAATAGATACCTTTGGGCACTTAAAACCGGTTTATTTCAATTATTTCGTCTGGCATTATAATTTATAACAATTGTTAATATCAAAAAGGCGTAACTTTAAATATTAAAATCATCAGAATTAATCTGCTGCTTTATATACTAAAGTACAAATATAGCGGACAGACATGAAATTTCAAATTTATATTTTTGATGCACCAGTATAATAAATATCAAAAACGTAATATTTGTATCACCATACCTAAACATTAGTAGTCTTCGCTATGCTCCGGACAATTATTAATAGATTAATCTAATTGAACTCTAAATATGCTACAGTATATAACAATTAATTGTATAAATTGTTTTATTTGGTCTATTTAGTTTGTCATAACAGAATTCAATATATTATATAGTTCTTTCACAATAAAACCGTATAAAATACATATACTTTAAGTATGATTTTACTGTAAAAAAACTCATATACATAGTTAAGATTAAAGAATCTATCATAATAGTTATGTTATGGTAGTTAATGCAGTGTACTGTCATTTCACTAAGGTCAGTTACAGATTTTTTTCTATTTGTTAAAAATTTAGTTAAGACAGCTAAGTATATAGGACTGCTATTTTAGAAGTAAAAACGATTAGCAATTAATTAAACAGTCTGCCATTCAAATATAAGAAACTTACCAAATAATATATGAAAATGAAGCAATACTGAAAGTTTAAATAAGTAATAAACATTTAAAATTAACAAATTAAATAAATTTATAATTAAAATTGCATCAATAAACTTACCAAGTAACAGTTGTAATCGAACTACTTGAGGACTTAAGTAAATAGCTAATCTAAAGCTATTCATGTAGTGTATAGAATGAAAGTCAATTTCTTTATAAAACAATCCAATATATAAATTCAGACAAATCACACAAATTAGCATTTCTCTTTATGAGCTTTAATTGAAGTAAAATATCGTAAGAATCTAAAGTATACCTAACAAAAATAGAAAATTAGCATTGTCCATTTCAAAATTTCAATTTGCAAATTGAAATTCAATAAGTTGAATTAATTAACGACGATGCACTTATCTTATTGAACAAATATTAGTGTAGATCTTTGCCAAAATAACCTTTGACCTTAACAACCGGAACTTTGATTATACAATTAATAAAAGTCTAATTCATTTTGGATTGGTCAAGTTCAATTGTAAGCCGGTAGAAATATTTATACCTCTAGGAATAGAAGCTGGGTCAAAATGGGCCTGGTTTATAAGTGCCTGACATATTATGTAAATTAAACTACATGTTAGATATATGATAAAATTTATTCATAAACATTTTTGTGTATATGTTAATTTTTACTTACATATTATAATCATTTCTCGAAAATTTTAAGCATATGGGCTACCATCAATAGAAATTAAGCAGATTGACATTTTAATCTCCTAACATTCACAACTTATATCTCGATAAATTTTGAGGCTATCTTGATGAATTAATATTCAAAGAAAGTCAAGATCTTAAGCTTTCTTTGAATATTAATTCATCAAGATAACCTCAAAATTCATCAAGATATAAATTTTAAAAATTAAAGGATTAATTTTTTTTAAAATGTCAATCTGCTTGATTTCTATTGACAGCAGCTTATATGCACATCCCTAAAGGTTTAGTAGTTTATAATAAATTTCGTGAAGATAAGTATTATGTCTCTACAAGCAAAACTATAAAGCCATTTCATTTATTAAACAAAAACGATTTAATCTAAAATGCTTTTCTTAAAAAAAGAGAAGAAAAAAAAAAGACATTTCCTTTTCTAAAAAAATAGCTCTATAGCTTTGTTGGTAGATATAATACTGGCCCTTAGAAATTTACCCTAAACTATCTAACCGTTAGAACTATGCATTATATAAAATACTCATATAAAATATTTGGCTATATATAGTTTTGTTTACATAGTAATCATATACCTTTTGAATTGTGAGTTTATATTTTTTTGCTGCATAAAAAATGGCAATTGACAAAAGATTCATAATTTTAAACATATCCATTAATCATATTTGGATAAATTGTTTATAATTAAATTTGCGCTATACCCAAAATAAATTAGTTAATTCAGAAAAATATAAATATACATAATAATGATAATTAAATAACTTATCTAGGAATTGGCTAATATAGTTGTGTACTTTGATTATATCGAGATTTTTGGGTTTGTTCCCGACGCCTTGCACTGGAAATATCTAAACTTTCAACTTATAAATGCTATATCAAAAAATTGTAAAATTAGAAATTTAATAGCCCCAAAGCAGGTTATTTAAGTAGAATTTTGAGGTATTGAAATTTTCTAAATTCAAATTTGTCCTGATCTTAGTATTGAGCCGATATGCATCTACACACGTCACTCTGGAAAAAAAAGTAATTTTCTCTATTAAAAAATTCTAAAAATAGGTCAATACGATTTTGAAAAATTCGTATTTACCAATTTCTCAGCATGCCACTATAAATCTTTGCATTCGATTTATAATAAAAGATATCTAATTATTAATGATGATTTTAATAATATTGGGTTTTGATTTAGCCTTATCAGCCCAAAATCAATATTTTAAAAGAATCAATTTAAAAGCATCTCATTGTCATTTGTATGCATTTTAATTATAGAAAGTACAAACAATATTAATATTGAGAAAAAAAAATAGAACAATTTATAAATGTAATAAATATAGCTATATAACTATTTGGAGACAGTTTATACAAATGTAAATTCATGCTTATTTAAGCCCAGCAAATGACCTTATACAAGGCGCATAATTTACAAAATAAATAAATATTAATTTATATTAAATCAAATACTAATAAAAGGAGAAAAGTTATACCTTTAACGAATTCAATATTCATTAAGAATCTATCCACTTTACAAAATGTCCTTAAAAAATTTTTCCAACGAAGACTTAAATTTAGATAAATCATATCTATCGCTAGACGAAAGACCAAGTTTAATGTTAAATAAAAATTATTTTCATCTTCTGATGAAGAGCCTCATTTGTCATTAGATAGTGAATCTTTTCCAACTCACAAACTTTCATCAAAGAATGAATGTTCTTTAAATAATATGTCGTCCTTAAATGAAGAATCGTCTAATATTTTACATATGTTTACTCAAAATAAAAGAAAAATTAGTAAACTACCCAATGTTAATACTAAAAAAAGATCTAAACTGGGAAAAAGTTGGGTATGGAAATATATGAAAAAAGATAAACTTAACAAAAAAATTAGATGCCAAGTATGGGTTGGCGATAGTGACAAAAAGCAACAATGTCTAAATCCTTTTGAACTCAAAACCAGTACAACAAATTTAGTATCTCATCTTCAAGCCGATCATAGATTAGATAAAAATAGACCTTTATTACCTTTAAGTAGTGTAAAAGAAATAACTCAACAACTGACTGTTTAATTGAATCCATCGCAATCTACTCTGCCAAAATTATTTAGTTGTAGAATGCCATTGTCAGAAAAAAAACAAAACAGAATTACCTCCCGAATCTTAGCCTGGATAATTGATGATATACAACTCTTCATTGTTTTAAAAAATAACCGATTTCATGATCTTTTATATGAAGCAAAACCACAATATCAATTTCCGGGTAGAGATATATTTAAACAAAAAATATTTGAGACAGTAAACTATACTGAAAATAGTTTAAGAAATTTAATTGACAATATGTTAGAATCTTTTGCATTTACTACAGACTTGTGGACTCAAGACCACAAACTATATATTGGGATTACAGCCTATTGGCTCTCTTCAGAATTTGAAATATGTAAGGCTTTACTCACTATCGAAAGTTTCCCATATCTATATACATCAGATCATATTGAAGATTGTTTATTAAGAGAATTAGCTAAATGGGGTTTAAGCAACAAATGTGTAGCCGGTGTAACTGATAATGCCAGTTCAATAGTAAAAGCGTTAAAAGATATTGGATTTTACATGTAAGATATACAGCTCATACCATCCAACTCGGTATTACAGACGGTTTAAAACAGGCTGCTAACTTAATTGACTGTGCAAAAGATCTAAATTTATTTGTCGCTAGAAAAGACAAAATTAGAGAAAAACTACGATTAATACAAATTGAAATGTTTAAAGAAAAAAACCCATTACTTAACAATAAGAATATTTCTGTCCTTGATCCAATATCCAGCGATACAGTGACCAGATAGAACTCAACCTATTCATTGTTAGAATGTCTACTTTATCTTTATGAAGCTATAAAAAGACTGCAAAAAGATCTTGCAAAAGATAAAGAAAGAACTATTAGACAAAATGCTAAAGCATTAGAAGAGTTGCTCCTTGAATAAGAAGATTTATTAGGAATTTAAAAGTTGGTTAAGTTGCTAAGTCCTTTTATGGATGTTACAACCATAATAGATAGTGATCAATATCCTACAATTTCAATGATGCTACCATTAATTAGAATATTACAAGATCATCTATTTGAAAAAAAAAGACACTTAAACATCCAATTGTTCATGATGTATGTGATGAGATAGAGCTTTCATTTGGAAATTGTTGGGATGAGCCTGGAGTAGAAAGGTATATCGCTACTATTCTCGACCCAAGATTTAAGAACCTAAGCTTTGAGCCAGAAAACCTAAAACCAATGAAAAATGAATTAAAACGCAAGATGGAAGATGCAAAAAATATATACCCAACAACACCTTTAATTAAAAATAGATCATCTTCCTCTTTATTAAATTCATTATTTAAAAAAACTTCTGAAGAAATTTGTCCTATTGAAGCCGAACTAAAGATGTATTTTGACATGCCCCAGATGATAAAATATGATCCTTTTGATCCTCTTTATAAAAAAAATAACTTTTTAGTCTTTTGGCAAGACAATAAATCAACACTTCCCTTAATAGCACAACAAGCACAATGGTATTTAGCAATTCCAGGAACCTTAGTTCCCTCGGAGCGTCTCTTCTCTGATGCTGGGAACATTATAACTGATAAACGAAATCGCCTTCTTCCCAACACAGTTCATAACCTACTTTTTTTAAAAGAAAACCAGAATTGTTTTAATTCCTATCCTGATTTAAACTAGTATACCTCAATAGATTTGTTAAGAAGTGACGAGAATTTATTTTTATACAGAAAAATAGAGTTAGATAAATATTAAAAAAAAAACATTAAATAAACACTTATTAAATCTCAACTAATCTTGTAATTTTGGTTTTTTTCAAATTTATTAAATAAACGCTTATTAAATCTCAACTGATCTTGTAATTTCAAAGTATTTTTAGCATTAGTAAAGTTCAACGTGTAGGTGCATTGTAGTCACCCAATTTCTGAGATCACCGAACCCACAGAACTTTTATTAGAGGTAGTTTTTATAGCAGGCGATAATATGTTGAAATGATTTTATATCATTTCAGTAACGTTACAAAAAGAAAAAAGTTCATAATTTGGGCGATCTTCTACTATATAAATGAACGTTTCTGGTCATGTGATTGAGACCTAATTAGAAAATCGGCTAAGCCGACTAAGCTGATCAAAATTTATCAGCTAAGCTTAGCCGATAAATTTTGATCAGCTACATTTACTATTAAAAATTACATAAGATAATGTGATTCAAGCAAAAAATTTTTTTTGCTACATTATTTATAATCGCCAGTATATATACTGTATATACTTTCTTTTATTAAGTTTTACTAAATCTATATCTGAGTACAAATTATATAACCTAAAATAAGAAAAAAGAAAAGGAATATTATACTAATATTATCCAACTACATGCTAGATGTGAAATGCTATACAGAATTTCTAATTTTAATTAGTTTATCAACTCTTTATATGAAGTAGCATTATATTTGTAAGTAAACAAAATATATAGTTGTAATTTACTAAATTAGAAAAGCATAAACAATGCTAATCTTTTGAAGTAAACCAATCTCTATTTTTTATCAAATATTTTGAAAAAAAACCAGAAAGCAAAAAAAAATAATAAAACACTTGTATTAATTGTAAAAAGTATATTAAAAAACTTATTTGCTATTCTTTTTATAAGCTAGCTATAAAAAATTTTATTGTTAAAAGACTTTTTCTCTATACAAGAATACTATTTTCTACTAGTTATCTTGTATACTAATGTTTTTAGTTTATATGTCAAATATATAAGAAGTTCTCAAAGAGTAAATATAGAAAGATCTTTTAGTTAATCTTTATAAAAACTATTATTTTGTAGTGTTTTTTTATCTAACTCTAGCAAAATTTTTATTTTCATTTAACAGAAGATTTAATACAAGTGATTATTAAAAAAATTGTTATTTATAAAATTTAAATAATAATAATTTTAAAAATATATATATGAGGAAGCAGTTTGTAAACTAAATAATATTACTACAAGTCTAAACTATCGTAGAGTTTATTTCTACAAATATCTTGCTCTCTATCATCAAACAGCTTTACAAAATTACAATATTCCTAACAACTTCAAACAATTAGCAATAAACCAAGCTATCTATATTGTTGTTGATACCCACTTTTTAGCTAGAATCATAACCTACTCTGATTGTATTCAAAGCCAAACCTATACCTTCTCTCAAACTATCAAATACTACAAAGATTCTGCCTACCCAGAGGCAGAAAAAATACTAAAAGAAAAATTTAATCTCAACTTCCAACCTATTAAAACTACAGATCTAGAATCTTTATTTTTAGATCATTCTTTTTAATAACATTGTCTTTTACAAACAACATAAATGCAGCCACCACCTTATTAAAAGATACATCCTTTGTAGTTAATAAGGAGAATGATTTAAGTAGGCAGGTGGATAAGCCTATTTATGTGGAGATCCAAGATAATAATGGTCAGACCCAACACACAGAACAGACTTTGGATACCTGCACAGCTGTGAGAGCTAAGTCTAAAATGATGAGTGACTTTGTAAAAAACAAAAATTCCTCCTCAGACAACATTTCATCACATCTTTTTGAGAAAACTTGCTATAACAAATTTCTTAAAAAACACAACCTCCCATTACTTAACTCTAATCAAACTCTTAAATCTTTTCTACACTATCTTCTAAAACAATCCTTCTACAAACCTTACAAAATATCTCTCAATATATATACACATGAAGTACATATTTATCTTGATATTAATAATTAACTCTTAATGAATCATAGAATTATACCACTATATCAATTTCCAGCATACTATAACTCTTTTATTAAATCAACTTCTTCCAATTCCATTTCTACCTTATTTTCTTTTAATACTTCTTATAATAATTCTCAAACACAATCAAATACTTCTTTTTTTAACAACAATACTATATCAACCTCTCAAACTATCAAAATTTGTACACTCAACACTAATGGCCTTTCAACCAACTCTAAACAATTACTTATATATAACTATATTATAGAAAATAATATTGATATTTTTGGTCTATCAGAAACACATCTAACTGAAAAAGAAAGTAATCTCCTACCTCTTACACAAAGCCTTACTAATTTTTCAAACTTTTGGAGCCCACCCATTATATCAAAAAAAGGAGGTGTTGGAATTTATATTCACACTAACTTATCTAAATATATTGGATACATACAAGAATATTAAGGACATATTATCTGTTTAGACCTCTTTCTTCCAAATAATTCACTCTGTATTATCCAAGTCTATTTTCTAACACAAGAAAAAAAGCAACTTAAAACTAAAATAACAAACCAAATAATTAAACTTATACAAAAAACTACTCACAAAATAATTTTAATAAGTGATTTTAATACAACACCCAATCCCAAACTAGATTGTTCTCTAGCAAAAAGAATACAGATACCTGAATCACAACTTATTAAATTTCTTACTCCCCACATGCATAATACCTTCTGTCTCTTTCACCCCAACTCTATAAAATTTATCTTTAATCACAACAATAGTCATAGTAGAATTGACTAAATATGGACAAATATGTATATAGCTTCTCTGGACTATGCAGATATTATTGAAGATGCTACAATAGAATCAGATTACAATATTATTTTACTTGAATTTTCTATTCTATTAACACTCTCCTCTTTATACAAACAACCTCTTAGAAAAGTCCCTCTTTAAAAACAAGCATTACCTAAACAAATTCAAAAATACCAAACATATATAGATCAAAATTTAACCAAAATTCGTTCACATATTTTACAAATTCAAAACCAAGTAGAACTAGATAAAACTTGGGAAACAATTAACAAAACCTTCACAAAAGCTTCCTTTAAACATATTCCTTACAAAAAAATTAAAATTAAAAACAATCTTAATCCTTTTTTATTTAACTTCAATACAAATACATATTAACAATTAAAAAACTAATCAAATCTTCTAAACTCCCTCAACTAATTACAAACTATTATAACAAATACACAAACAACACTCTCTTTAATCTTACTAATATACAAACTTCTATTCATATCCCAACTATAAAAAGTATTCTCAAATTTGAAATTAAACAAATTAAAATACTTTTAGAACAAGAAAAACAACAATATACTGCCTCTGAAATTAAACACAAATTACAGGAACATAATACTAATTTTATTCAAAACCCTAAATTATTTTACAAAAAAGTTTTAAAAAGATTTAGTAGCAATGTGTCACTGGACAGACTTCTACTTAACAATTCCTTACTTACAAACTCTAAAAAAATCAAATCTGCTACTCAACAACACTTCCAAAACTATTTTCAAGGTTAACCACTTCCAGATATAACTCCTGACTCAGAATTTTATACCTTATACTAGCCACACCCTGAGCTTAAATATTTCTATAATAATATTCTTACAGAAATCACACAAAATGAATGGCAAACAACAATTAATCAATTACCTAATCAAAAAGCTTCAGAACTCTCTGGTATTAGCTATGAACATATTAAACACATCTCACTACTTAGCCAAGACATTCTTCGTTCTTTTCTCTCCAAATATCTATATCTCCAAACAGTTCTAACTGACTGAAAAATCTCTAATATCTTTTTAATACCAAATGAGACTTTATATTAGAGCAAGTCCGACCTATCTCACTTATTGAACCTTTTAAAAAATGTCTTACCAAAATCTTCACAAAAAGACTTGACAATATTATTAATACAAACAATCTTACTAGCAATCTAAACTTTGCTGCAACTCCTAAAACCTCTATACATATATCAATACAAATCCTACATAATACTATTGAACACTACAAACTTAATAATAAAGAAGCATAAATTCTATTTCAAGATATGTCAAAAGCCTTTGACAGAATAAATATTTCTCAATTAGGCGATGCATGTAGAAGAATAGGCATTCCACAAAATGCTATAAACTTTATTACTAATTTATATACAAATCGCAAAGCAAGAATTATCACAACGTATGGCCTTACAGATCCTATTACACTTAACACAGGAATAGAACAAGGAGAAACATACTCTTCACTTTTGTGGAAAATATACTATGATCCAATTCTTTCCTATATAAATACCAAACATCAAGAATCTTTTCTTCAAATTAAAAGCATATCTCCACTTGACCAAATATTTCAAACCCAAATACTATCTATTACAATTCCTCCACTTGCCTTTATGGATAATACAGTTTGGCTTTGTAAAAGCAAAAGCTCTCTACAAAACCTACTTGATGATGTATTAAAACTTTACAAGCTTAATAATATTCAAGTCAACCCAACT